TCCCAGGAGGCAAACCGAAGCCCTGCTGCCTGAATCACTGCAGCCGATGGCCAGACCACGGCCCCAGTGCTCAGGATGGGCGTCTCCAGCTCCGCCAGGGCCGGCGGGACCACTGCATCCATAACTCCTCCCTGTGGAAGCGGTCGTTGCACAACCTGGCCTTTCCAGGCCCTTCCATTAGGAAGTGAGCCATCCTAACGAACAACTGACCATGAACATCCTAGACGCAATTTCTACACAATCGTTGCTATTTTATCATCGGTTCTTACGTTTTTGCGGCTGCTCCTGCTTTGAAAAAAAAAAACCAACGGAGGAAACAAAGTGAGCTCTTCTATGAATTGCTTTTCTTAGTAATTTATGATTAATGGGGTAAATCTTGGAATCCCTACTCAGTTTTCACTTTTTGTAACCCAAGGCTTCTGTTTATTCATGTTTTGTAACAGAACTGTAAAGTATTTCCTTTTAGCCCAAGGCACCTAATCAGGATTAGGCCTGGAGCAGAATATCTTACATTCCTGCGTTCCAAGAGTACCTTGATGTGGAATTATCTTTTGTCAACCATAGACTGAATATTCATTTACACCACTTTTTTTTTTTTTTTTTTCTTCTTCTTCTTTTTTTAATGTATTTTATGGCCTATTTGGTCAACCAATTCTGAATGGATCTGTTCTCAGCTCTGCATTTTGTGGATGTGTCTTACTAGCTTCTTAGCTGCAAGTTGATAGTGTTGAAAGTGGGAGAAGAGTTTGGTTTGTGAAGCTGTTGCTCTGTGGGTCTGGGTGCCATTCACTGCAGTGTGGGCTGTGTAGGGATGTGCTGCTGCATGGCATACAGGTTCTGGGTCTCAGTTCTACAGAAGCTCAGCCTCAAGCAAGTCATACTTAGTTCCAGGTTCATGCAGCATCTGCTGTGCAGCAGTGACCATATCTCCTCCTACCTGTTGGCACTTCATCTTGCTCTGTGGACCCACAAGCACTGCAATCTTTACAAAAAGCTTTGCCTTTTTTTCCCAAATCCTGGCTCTTCTGAAAGATCTGATTTGCAGCAGCTTGAAGTAGCAGTCTGTCCTTGTGTCTCCAGTGGGTGAAGATGAGTGACTTGAAGGGAGACAGAACCAAATGGAGGCAGTGTCTGTCCGGGATGCTGCTTTTACTCAATGCCTCATTATCAAAGCCAAACTGAAATGAAGAGCTTTTTTGCAATTACAATAATAGGCAGCTTTATTTAAGTAAGAATTGCTTTAACTGAAAGTGCCCTGATGTGGGATGAGGTTTTTTCTTGGTTCTGTCTGGTGTTTAGAAAGGTCTCTGTAGCTTTGACTCACCTATTTTAATTTTTAAAAGGTTTATGTCTAGTTACAGCACAGACGTATTATTACATATCAAGGTCTTAGTCATTGTGTTCCCTTGTGTGTGCTTTACTCATTTAGATTTATCTGAGTGGAGGGAGAGAGCCTGGAGGGAGTGGGAAGAGAAGGGAGCACAGATTGAAGGAAGGGTCCCACTTCTTTGGGAACAGCTGGCCTTTTTTTTTGTTGTTGTTATTAGTTTTGTCTTACTGACTAAAGAATGATGCTTCTGTGAAAGAATGAGAAGTCAAGAAAAACACTTTTTTCTAAGGCAACTTTCTGAGTTGTATGCTGTATTGGAGAATCCCATTGAGTTGTAATGTCAGATCTCACCTCTCCACATAACTTTTATATTTACAGTATGTTATTTGCTTTTATTTTTATACAAAGGGATTACTTCTTCCTTCTTTATTATTATTTTTCCTTTTCCGTTAGTGTGGTGTGCTGTATTCAGAGAGCTGGGCTGTTACAGTAGTGCTTGGCAGACCTTCCTCAAGAACTGAGCAAAACTTTGACCTTTGCTTTTCCAAAATCAGACTCTGCAGCAGGAGAGTGTAGGTCAGGCTTATCTCCCACCCATCAGGTTGGTTCTGTGGGGTTCAGCCCTCGCTCTGCTCTGCTCCGCTCCATCACTCTCACTCCCCACCCTTCCTGCTCCATCTGTGGTCTGCTGAGCCACACAAGAGAATCAGGACGCCCAGACCTCCTCTTGACCCTGTGCAGGACTCTGTGTGCAGTGTGAGTCACTTCACCAGGCAAGGAAGTTTGGCCTGGTTTTGCCTGGATATTGGGCAAATTGCATCACTCGGCTCCTGACGGGACAGCTGTGGTCTCTGGGTCTTCCTGGCCTGGTGAGGGAAGCAATGAGTTGGCACAGAGGTGAGGTGATGCTGCCCAGCAGGAATGGCCACTGCAGTCCCCAAGGCAGCCTGGGAATGGTGTGGCTCCCCTTCGTTACGTCTTCAGACAGGGGCTAATTAGTGAGTGTAAAAAAGAGGATTACTAAAGAATGCCAACACGTCAGGAGAGCTTCTGTGAGATGAAGTAAGCACATTATGAAGAGGAAAAGGACTGGGTGCATACAGGGAAAACAGGGAAGGACACGTCTGTAAATCCATACAAAAAAAGGAAGCCAATTACTTTTCAGCCTGTCCTGAACGCAGCTCTGTTTGCTTGTTGTTGCTTTTACCAACAGGGAAGTCAGCCTTTTAAATCTCTCTGGCTGCGCAGGTGGTAGTGTAAGTAGCATAAAACAGAACTTGTCAAATCCAGGAATCTGGCTTGTGGAGAGCAAATCCCAGAATGAGAGGGAAAAAAAAAAAGCCAAAAAACCCTCAACCCCAAAACAAAACAAAAACACGATACCTAAACCAGACTTCCACTTCTGGGATCAGATCAAAACAACAAAAAGCCCAGAAAGATTAAACTAAGCTCAGCTCAAATTAGTTTATTGTGTAGCATGTTTCTCGAGGCAGAAGAGTTTACTTTGGAATTAAAGCACACACACAAAACATAGCCCTCAACTGGACGTTCGGCGTGCTAATAGTTTGCAGAGGAGTTCAGGGAAGTTGACTCTAAAAAACAGATGGGTGTCGAGAGGCACCGTTGAGGTCTCCGCATTCCTCTCCGCGTATTGACATGGGGTTGTTGTGCTGAGATGGTCAGAAACTATGCAGCTGTTTGAGTCCTCTGCCGAAATAGTTCTGCGCACGTCCAGCCTCGCAGCACCCCGTAGGGCCCTGTTTTGTCTGAATATTGGGCAAATTCCCCTGCTGCCAGCCCTGCTGCAAACAGGAGGCACAGTGGAGGGCCATTGGAGTGGCTGGGGTGTGCCCTGGAGAAGGGTCCATGCCGTGCCCTGGCTGCCCGTCTCCAGGAACATCTGCATCCATTGCTTCTCGTGGCTGTGGGGCTGCTGTGTGAGTTTCCTCCCAAAGATGTCTCTGGCTGTGTTGGTGGCGTTCTCTAACATTTTGGCAGGCAGAATCTTCGCCGCAAATAATTATTGCAGAGGTGGCATGAAATTGAAAAATGAATTATGAAAATATTTACTTTTATACTTTGAGTAAGAGCTTTCGTATCGTGTTTGGGAATAGTTCCTGTTTCTTTCCAGCTGGGTTTATGTTTTTGTGCTTGGTGGTTCATTCATCCTCTGAGGTGAGAGAAAGGCAGGATTTTTTTGCTTGAGGTGTCCCCGTAGGTCACCCCCAGGTGTCCTTGTTGCACAGGGACAATGTGGGATGCCATGGTAGGAACAGGTCATTGTGAACCCTGCTGTCCCCCCAACTGGGCTGCTGTGTTCCCAGAGGGCCTTGGCACCATGGGGATGACCATCCTGCAAAAAATCACATGAAATAATGGCTCCAGATGGAAGTGGTAAACCCACTGCCCCAGTGGCCCTCTTCTCTGGTAGCAGAGGGTGCAACCTTCTCTGTTACTCCTCACAGTTGGCTAAGGAATGAAGATGTTGCCCAGTCTAAGGTTTCTATTTTATTTACTCATTTTCAAGGCTGCGGTCTTGGCAATAGGAAAATGCCAATGGCTATTTGTGCTAGTGCTGCTAAGCTCCCTTCCATAGCATCACTGGGCTGTCTGCCCTGAGAAGGGCATTTCTATTCAAGGTCATCTCCTGAGGACCAAGGATTGCTGTCTCCAGACGAGGCATGACGTCTCTCTCCTTCCGTCTTCCAAGCCTGCTCCGCTGGAGGCAGTGCACCAAGAGCTGCCCAGTCTGACTGGGACGGGCGTGAACACAAGGACACTGCAGCGAGCAGGAAGAGTGCCTGGGATGGAAAATGGACTGCTGTCTTATTCTGCTTCTACTGCCCTAACTCCAGGCTGCTCCTTCACCCCATAACATCCCCCAAGATTCGACATTGCTCCATTTGGAGAAGACACAGGTAGGATTACAGGGCTCCCTGGGAGCAATTAAGAGGCCTCCATGGGCTCTGACACCACTTTCTAGCTGCCTAAGGCTACAAATCTCCTCACTGCTCCAGCTTCCCCAGGTGGGCAGAGCCTGAGCAGGTGCCATACTGCCAGCAATGGGAAGGTATGTGGGGAGCAGGGCAGTGGGGGGTGGCTTTGATGATGAGCTCCTGACAAAAGGGCAGCTTAGTGTCTGAGGACAAGGTGTCAGAGCAGCAAAGTGCTCGAGGAAAGGACAGCCTTCTCTCCTGACTTTATTATCATGTTTGACATTTTGGTTAAGGAGCCCAGTCAGTCTAATTTCTCACAGCGTAAAGACAAGACGCTAAATTTGATTGGTGTCTGACTGTGTAAAGGCTGTATTTTTGGGCTGGGAATTCATTAGCTTTGCTAATACTCCAAATAGTAGCTGCTACTGCTATATGATTCTGGCTTTGTGTGAACAGTGTTCATGCTAGCACAGTGTTTTGATGGCACTGGATGTATTGTGCAAAGGAACTTATAAGGTAATGAAAAAACAAGGTGGAAGAAGCTGCCTGACTTGATTGTGGCCTCATATGCCCTTGACTCTTTGATGTCAACTAAAGTGTGTGGTGGGGCTTCCCTAGCAATAAATCTCGGTGATTTTACGCAGAGTTGCCTTTCAAGAGCAGGGAAAGGCTTGTTTGCTTTAGGTTTTTCTGTGTTGGCATTATTTTTGTTTTGTTATTGTTTTGTTGGTTGTTTTGGTTTGGTTTTTGTTTGTTTGTTTGTTTTTGTTTTTGCCCTAAGGGTTTAACTCTCTAGAAATAACACATAATCAATAATGTTAGTAGCTGTAGTGGAGATGATTAATCCCACTTTTGCCGTTGAGTGATGGCTGATGAGGATGAATGCATAGTGTTAGGTCCACTTCAAACTGCAGCTGGGATATTGTGCAAATTTAAATTCTAACTCATGTTTTACAAATTTGTTGTTTTCTCCATGCTCAGAACAGCCACAAGAAGGGCTCCATTTATTGACTGTTATGCTCAGTCCCAATGAAATCGTTAGGAATCACAGGAAGTCCATCCAAATGTCGTCCATTAAATGAGAATCAAAACAGTGAGAAACCAAACTTCTGGTTCTTCCTAATATTGCTGCTGGAGACGTGGCCCCTGAAATCAGCCAGAAGCTGGTAGAAACTGGTGAGCTTGAAGCTGTTAACGGGCTTCAGTAGGGCTACAGGGAGAAAGGATGAAATATTTCTTTCTTCTTTACATATTTGTTTGTTGTACATTTGAACCGTCTCCATGCGCCATGTGACATCAGGTTTTAAATTCCTCATTGATTTGAGAAAGGATTTCTGTTTAAAAATCAATGGCTTGGGATGGCTGGTGAGGAACAGGGAAGGAAAGCCCATTTTGTGTTTGTGTAACATTTGCTAGAATTGGTTAAACAGACACACATCAAAATAAATGCTGTAACCTTTCAATAATGTTTAGTCTTCCTGAGAATGAACATACTGTGAGTATGTGTGTTAAGTATACACCATTAATAGTCTCTGTGACATTTGGGCTGGCTCCACAGGGGAAATGAAGGGCATGCACTGAAAATGGTATCAAAAGGGAAAAATAATCACCTCAAGTCACAGAAATAAAATTTACCAGAAGTTGCAAGAATAAAAATAGGTTATTTGGGTTCCCTTGATTGAATTTGATTCCTGTGATGTTGCCGTCAGAGGATGTAACTCAGGTCCTTGCAGAGCCCAGATTTCTTCTCTGAAGTTGTCACAGGAATGAGTCCAGAAATTCCTAGGAAGTGTCACAGATGATGGATAATATTGTAAGTTACTGCTGTTGCTTAAAGGCAGTAAATTTTTCTTGAATTTTGGCTCTCTGTTCTTTTCTTTCTGTTTGGAGTGATATAACAGGAAACCTAAGTACCAATGGACAAATTCCTGCTACAGCTGGTTCACCATGGCACAGCCACTGCCTGCTTCTGCAGGGTCACAGCCCGGTGCCCTGAGATGAACGACTGCAGAGAGGTGAGGCTGGTCTAGATGTTACTGAAGTAATTCCATCAAGGCAGAGCAATTATGATGGAGAAGATGATAAAGCCAGAGAAGTTAAGTCCCATTAACATCAGCAGCCATGTACGCTGAGTTTAAACAGTTTGGTTTTTAATTTTATTTTTTGATTGTTTGTTGTCATTGTGTGTTTGTTTGCTTAGGACTCGTGCTTTTCTAGCTTCAAAACTCTTCCTTTTTCCCTCTGATGGACTCAGTGGTACTGGTTAACTATTTAAGTTTATTTCCACTAGGAATTAAGCTGAAGAAGACAATGACTGAACTGAAACTTTTGAGCTGTATCAGGTTTAGCTTAGGCTCCAGAAAGCTTGGTTATTCCCTTTTTATTAACTTTTCTTGTCTCCCTTTATCCCTCAATGATAAAAATGGTTATTATTTCTGGACCACAGAGCTATGACTATTTAAATTGTTTATTGGTGTATAAAGGCTGATATGGTTTCATGGTGGATTGTATCACCCTACAATAAACAGTTAGATAAAATGAGATGGGATGCCTCAACCTGGTGGATTAGTGGTGAATAATGTGAGTTATAACAGATCAGGAACGGCATTTGATGTCCTGTAGGCCCCCGCGTTTACCTAGACCTGTCCATGGCTGCCTTTTAAGGCTTTGGATATTGCAGTCTCTAGAGAGAAGTCCCTAAGGATGGCTGCAGAGTGTGCAGTTTCCTCTTTACGGTGGACATACATTCAGTCTTGAGAAAAAAAAAACCAAAACTGGTGCATTGCCCAACTCTGGGGTGCAGTTTGGGTGAATGTAGTTGTCAGAAGTTTATGTAACAACTGCATCAGCTTCTTACATCTTACATTAGCCACAGGGTTTGGTTTGACAATTTTCTGTGGCTCTTAACATAAACCAAGTTGACAGAGAGGTGCTGCAGGTGAAATCAGAGGGCCTGTATGGAATACCTCTGGTAATAGGATGACTGGGGAGTCAAATGCAAATCTATTAATTTTGTATCATCCTTTGCATCAGCCCTGGCCTCAGGGAATGTTCCAGGGTGGACTGGAATAGGCTGAGATGGGAGCAAATCAGGGCAGTGCTCAGACAGACCTCCGTTTGGCTCTGGCTCTGCAGGCAGATTAAACTGGTTTTCCAAAGATTTTATCACCAGTGTGACTCAGCATCATTAAATTTGAAAGCAACAGCAAAATTGGTGATCAGAAGGAGAACTTGGGGGCCATCACTCAAAATGTGATGGCCTATAAGTCAGAGCCGCATCCAGATGAGTCATGTTCTTGCGAGTCTCTCAGTCAATGCTTTTTACACACAGAAGAGGTTTGGAAAAGCTTCTGAACTGGACCCAGCCTTCAGTGGTTTGAGGTTCACCCATTACTATTTTCTGTCTTGCTTAGGCAGGGGTTTAAATTTAAAAAAAGAACTTGTTGTGTAAATATTAAACACTTCATTTAAATATTAAACGTTAAAGTTACAGGTTGGTTTTGCGCTTAAGCGTGGAAATATGGAACCGAATTTGCAGAAGTGTGGGAGCCAAATCAATTTTGGGACTGGAGTGAGCTCAGCTCCTTGCACTTAGGATGAGTGCACTGCTTACAGCTATAACCAAACGTCTGCAATTTCACTTTGTGTCCTGGAATAGTCAATATTTGGAATAAAAGAGAATTTATTTGCAATTGTAATATTCCCATGGTAGGAAACTGAATTGATATCTGAGCTCATTTGAATAAGTATATAAGAAGACAAAAGCCCTATTCTGTAAAGGCTTTTGTGTACAAACAAAACTTCACATCCTGGGAGTAGCTGCACGAAGCAGCAATCATTATGTGTATATTAAGCATGTACATATGTCTTCACAGGGCTGAGGATGTAGATATTCTTCTTCTGACAGCCAGAACAGATTGAAATAGAAGTATGGAAATTGCCAGTACGATATTTGTTTGGGGAAATTTTGGAAAACAAGGAACTATTGTGTAAAACCTTCCTCCTTGTTGAGGCTTGTGGTTTGTTCCCCTCCCTCCTCCAACAATTACAGAATTTCTCAAGAGCAACTTAAGAATTGTTGAGTAAAGGTCATTTATCTTGTATAGGATGGCTTTTCACTCAGAAGGATTTGATGCTGGAAATTACCCCAGTACAATATAGTAGCAGGCTTGCTAATGCTGGGCTTGAATGTGGATGTTTGGATGCTGCTGGCTGGGGAAAGGAAAGGCTTAGAGAAATAATAGCCCGTGTTAATTTCTTACCTCCAAGAGTGCCATGATGGCATCCAAAGACCAATAACATTCCTGCGAATGAAAACAGAAATGACAGCCAAAGAAAATATCCTCCTCATTCGTTTAAGATAGCAGCCAGATCTACCCACTCTGGTTAGATTTGCTTGGTAATGAGAGGAAGTTGTGAGTCAGGGACTTGGATAGCATTAGTACCACATATCATCAGCTTTCCTGTAGCCAGGCTGCCATCGCAGTGCAGCTCGGTGTGGTGGTTCCTGAGCATTGCTGCCAGCTGATGATTGCCCAGGCAGCCAGGTGGTGTCAACTTGCTGTGTGTCAAACAAACGTGTTTGTTTTCCTTTGGAGATGGCAAACAAGTCTTCCGTTGTTCACCTAGCTCTGTCTATTGCATTTTTAGGCAGTTTCAGCCCAAGAATGTTTTCCACATCTTTGTTAGTTCTCAGTTACAGGCACTTCTTTAGGCTTGGACTTCGAGATTGCTTTGAGGCTGTGGTTATTTGCTTTGTGTGTCGTGAAGGATGCCTGCCCAAATGCTGTCACATCTCAGATCAGCCACGTAGTGTAACTCTCCCTACTCACTGTGCCTGTGCTGAAGTCCTGATGCACCCTTAATAGTCAAAAGGATGGAGATAAGACCAAGTTAGGCTCCTGGTGCCTTTCCAGAAATGATTCAATTTAGCCACCTCTCTGGATATAAAGAAAACCATATAATATTAGCCAGACAAAGTCATGCCCATCACCATCTCAGACTCAGCAAAGTGTCCGAAATGACGGCACAGGAGCCGATGGCTGCAGGGAGCAGAGCTTGGCTGCAGCTGTCTGGCCTGGGCCTATTACGTGGATAAGCAGTCCGCTCCTGTCTCCAGGGCTGTCAATCTGGAACCTTTCACCAGCACTAAATTCACTTTAGAAAAATAAAATAGAGACAGAGAGATTAGTCAGACTTCTAAAATGCTTCAAGAAACTTTAATGTTATTATCTAAGCAGAAAGATATCCAGCAATTCCTCAGCTATTTAACATAATAGGCAGTTGCTGACAAACGACGTTATCGAGCACACACTCTTGAGTGAGGAAGAACGATACGATCTTGCTTAAATTGTATTTTAACAAACATGCCTATCTAACAATTAAGCTGGAGCAATTTTACCCTAATAGATGCATTCGCTGCTTAATATAGAAATTTACATGTTCAATTGTAGCCCCCAGAGATCACACAGCTGCCAGATTCCCAGCTGCCACCACCCCATTCCTCCCCTTATGACTTGCTTTCAGCTTTGGCTATGAGCACTTGATCTAACGAGGCACTTTAAAATACAAATCCTACTGTTTTCGTGGCGGCGGAGCTGAGTTCACTGGGCTGTGTTGGAAGAAGGCAGTCTGCCAGCCAGACACCCTTAGATGCTCACCTAAGCTGATTTTACTCCCCCTGATGGCAGAACTACCCGTTACCCCTCCGTGCTGATCAGAATCCTGCTGCATTATACGCAGCGCTACAAAAGCCTGGGAAGGGTGATCCTCGTCAGTCCTTGAGTGTGTCCCTCCTCCTGCCTTGTGATACTGGGCCTTATCCCATCTGGGACAAGTTCTGCTGCTGCAGTGGGATGTTTGGGGCCATTCGAGCCCCCAGAAGGAAAGGGGCTCTCTGGCAGAAGCTCTGCTGTCCCATCCACCAGGCATTCCCCAGATAAGGAGCTCACAGAGGGAGGTGGCAACGTGCAACTTGGGCGCTGGCAGCATTTTTCCATTCTCCAGTTACTGAGTAGTTCAGCTTGGGACAGACACAAGCCTGATGTACTATGCTGTGTGCTATTTCAAGGAAACAGAGCCTATGTCCTTCAGGTCAGCCCTTGGAAACTTTAGTAGATAAGAATTCCCAGTCTGAGTGTATCTAATAGATAAGAGAAACAGGTAATGCTTCCTTTCTGCTCTGCCAGTGGAATATGGACATTCCATCCAAAATCCCAGTAAGAGGGTGCCCGAAACTCCACATTCCAAGTGCACACATGCTTTTACCACTGAACTAGCAGAAGGTGGCAGGTAGGAACAAATGCCTGGCTAACAAACAGGTACAATTTTTAGGGAGTTGTGAAATCTGTTATCTGTGCACTAGTAAGACAGAAACCCATGAAACAGTGTGAGTACTTTGCTCATTTTCATTAGGGATGAAGAAGCATAGGCTTTTGGCTTCAGGCATCATCTGCTGTTCTGTGCTGGGGCTGAAGGTTCATCTGCTCCAGGCCCTCCCTTTGCCACCTGGATGCAGTTAGCAGCAGGATACTGAGCTAGGTGGAGGCTGGATGGATAAAGAGGTTGTTCTTGTGCAGGAACCAGCAACACTGTGCAACCAAACAACTTGTCCAGCACCAGGAAAAAAAGCCCAAATTTTCCTATGAAGTGATTTGGCATGAATAATTCCATACACTGTAGACAAAGGGGCAAATTCCCCAGTATATGTCACTCTGTGTTTTCTAAGGATTTGGCCCAAAGCTTTTTTTCTCTGACTTGCATACCACTGTGACAGTTTTGTAAAACGTTGTCAAGGATAATAGATTGTGGACTATCTTCTATCACGATCAGCTTCCCATATTGTAGCAAGGGGTGTCCAAAAAGCTATTTCCTTCCTCCCACCCATGCTGAGTGATAAACTTCATGCCAGAGATGCATGTGAGTGTTGGATGGCCGGAGAATCTGTTCCATTTGTTTTCCCATTTGAAACAAAAACACTTTTACTTAACTTTAATCAAGGAGGGAGGCAACATTACTCCACTTGGCAAACAAAATTATATTAAGTGCACTTGCTGGAAAAAAACTTATAGTTTGTTGCTGAAAAAATAGGCAGAGTTTATTGATAGCACAGCACAATCTGACTTATGTTTCCTGCATGGCAAAGGGAATGGAGCATCCTCCCTCGCTCAGAGCTGACCTCCCTTCTGCAAGGTGAGAACTGCCTTCAGTAGCTCAGTTATCAAAATGGTGGAGCTGGGCAACGAATTGGGGAAATTCCCCTCGTGCCAGAGTGAAGAAATGCATTTTTGGAAATAACTGATGGAGCAGTAGTTACCCCTAGAGGAAGAACTCCAAGTGTTCCAAGGGCAGGGAAAACATCACTGCTTTGGACTTGTGTGATTTGAAGAAATAGTTTCAGTGATGGCTTTTCCCCAGTCTTCTCTCCAGAGGTGAACCAAAGTGCTGTTGCAGAGATCTGCCCCTGCTAAGTGAATGCTGCATGTGGAGGTTGGCCTTACACAATCACCCAAAGGTGCCTTGAACCAACATTTAGCCAAATACGGAGGCGTTCATTCACATTTGAGGAGTATGTCTCTAGAAAGCATCCTCCAAACCATTCCCACAGAGGGAAAGCAGTCTTACATAACCCTCAAGGAGTGCAGGGAATGAAACAGATGAAACAACGATTTTTGTGCAGCTCAAAGTAAAGTCAAAACTCAGTGAAAAAACTACTGAATTAAATAGAGGTAAAATTGGTCTCTGGACCTCAATGGAGGGAGAATTTGAATCCCGTCATTTTGAAAGATTTGGAACTGAAGCATTCAGGCTGTCAAAATCATTGTTTTCTGCTGTTCTCTCTGTCTTCTGGCCAAATTTTGTTTAATTTTGTGTTGCTTTAAGAGAATGTGATTTAGATCTTGTGGCTGAAAAACAAACAAAAAAGCGGGCATCAAACCTACCTGGAAAGAAATGCCCTCAGATGCAGCTACTTCACAGTGTGGGCTGAATGAGAAATACCAGCCAAGGTCACAGTTTTCTCATGGTTTCAAGATAAAACCTTCACATTTTCCTCAGTTACTCTTTCAGGCTGAAATTTTTTCTGCTGCTTCATCTCTTATAAGATGTGAGCCAAACTAGTCCTCTCCTTCCAGGAACAAATTGGGAGGAAATTATGTTGTATTACCCCTTAAAAAAAAAAACAAAACCCAACACAACAATCCAAACAACCTCACAGCTGTTTCAAAATGAAACTCTCAAACTTCCACTTACACAGACTTGACGTTGGATGACGGTGGGGACCTCACTCCTGTATTGCTGACGCGCATTTTACTGGAGCTGCATTTGCACCTCGTGCCCTGTTGCATGGTTTTGGAGCTTCTGCACCTGAGCTACCAATGCATGGCAAAGGAAGAGCTCTGTTAATCTGTCTGTACTCTCGTGCAAAAAATACAGCTTCATTTTCTCTCCAGTTCATTCCTGGAGTCAGGATCTGTGTGTGGAGTGAGGCAGAGGTAAGCAGCATGTGATAAGGCAGCACATGATCACAGCGTTCGGGAGGTGGCTCTTAGAGTGTGTGCATATGGGGAACAAATTTTGATTGCACAGTCAAGCATAATTCAGGGATTTCCTAATCACTGAAATCTTGACTCTGCAACCTTACGGATTTTCTTCCATCTGTGCTGGTGCAATTCATTGCTATAATTGCAACAGATGGCTGCTTAAAAAAAGAATGTAGAAAACATGATAAGGCGAAAAACTGAAATAGTAAAGAAATGGAGTGACTTGGCACGTGGGACATCATACACTGTGTGAAGTGTCATTTCTGATACAAACATACATTTAGCACCCACCTGGCTATAAAATGCAATAGTCCGAATTCATCTTAGAAAAATCCCTGCTCATTTTTTTGATAGTGTTCAGTGCACAAATTTCTCCTGGGTAGTGGCAGGTAGCAGGAGCACTTGTCACTGTTACAGCACATCCAGCTCAGCTTCATGGGATGCATCATCATCTCAGCCTGTTTACACAGAGCAGAGACAGAACAAAATTGGTATGAATGTATGTCTGTCTTGTCTGTCTTGCAGGCTGCGAGGGATAGGTGACACCATTTTGGAGAAAGGACAAATAGTTATATATATGTAATAGCTACAGAAGAGTATTACTGGTAATGAAGCAAAACAGAGCTGTTTGCAGGATGCTGGAGGGCTGGTGACATTGATACAGCATGCCAGTTCCTGCCCAGTGTGTACAGGAGGGCAGGAGAAAAGCTGTGCTTGGTCTGAGCTGGAGGTAGTGGCAGGTTGAGAGCCAGCAAAGGTAGCCAAAGAACCTTTGGTGAAAGACAACATAAGGGAAAACCTGTATACCTACATGACTGCCCTGTTTGGCTCTGTGCTGTGATGTAGCATGGTCCTGTGGACTTCATGTTCCTCATGGTTCTTTGGGGGCTTGGTGTTTTGATGGCAATTTTTTTACTTCTGTTTTTCAAGGAACATAAATCCATCAGCTGAAAGGTTTCCAAGTCTGTGCTACTGTAGATTTTGCTGGCAATTTTGGGCTCCTCTTGTACACAATTTTTTGAGCATCATTCAATAGAGGTAAGACAAACTTTGGGCCACCATTACCCACCTCCTGATACAGGATGTAGAGCTTTCCTAACTTTCCTTCTTACCTGTAGTGCATACCACAACCGCAGAGAATAATGCCAGACAACTAACAGTAACACTTTCAGATTTTCTCTCTTAATGCAATCTCTTGAATTCATAACTGACACAATCTGTGACATCCTTTTAATCTAGTAATGGTATAACTCTATAACAATATATTTGAAGTGTCAGCGTTAGGGAGGGAGAATGAGTTGGATAGCCGGAAAATGCGCTCATCTCTAATGGAATTATTAACATTTTTAAAATAAATTGTTCAGAAAGAGTGTGAGTGAATTATACAGGCTGCACAGCCAAAGCTTTTCCTCCACCTAGGGATCTGTTTTGATCCCTGGTGGAGGTGTGGAAGAAGGGAAGCCAAAGCAGTGACTTAGCTTCTGCCTTCAGCCATCGCTAGAAAAACATCCTGTTACACCTAATATCCTCCTCAGCAATCACTTCATTGGCGAGGACCCAGAAAACCTTCCCTCTGATGCCAGAGTCCTCCTGCTGAACAATATCAGACACTGTTGATGGCCACGCGTGAGGTGCGGCTCTGACTCACGCTTCGTGTTCCTCCTGCATGTCCACCCCAAAACACAAGTGGCCTTTGGTCACCTGCTCCCACAGCCAAGCCTGGGGCCCATTCCAGCACTGCCGTCTGCTGCTGGGTCTGCTCCTGCACTTTTTCTGTTTTGCTTGCTTGTGTCACTTCTGGAGGCCTCGATGCTCCCTCCCTCTCATCTCTGATTGAAAAACAAGGCGAACGTCACTCAAAGGTGCCCTAATCCGTAGCAAGCGTGCAGCCCATGTCGCAGGGCAAGGTGAGCGCTGGCAGTGCTGCAGCCACTCCCTGTGTTGCTCAAGGGTGCTAAGAGCTTGGTGGATGCAGCAGGAACTTTCTGTGCTTCCCATCACCTTTCCCATTTGGGCACTGCCCTTGAAACCTGGGGTGGAGTGCTTCTCCTAATATGTTGATTTTTCTAAATAGGTTAAGAAGCACAGGCGGAAATCAGTAATGCTGGGATTATTTTCAAGCCATGCTTTATTCTTAGTCAACTATAATGGGACTGCAGGAGGCTTTATGATGAGCAGTAAAAAACTCAGCTGAGTGAGGTGGCTTAATGGGCACGGGGACTTTCAAAAATGAATACAGTTTATTTTTCTGTAGCATCTCTCTCTTTTTTTTTTTTTTTAAGAGAAAAAGAAAGATCAGGAAGTATTTTATGGAACAGCAGTAAAATAGGCACTGAATGCTTCCAGGAGCTGGATGCCGCTTTGGAAGGAGAAAGGATGAAGTAGAATATGAAGAAGGACAGGTACCATTTACAAGTGGGAAGGATGAGAGGCAAGAATGGAAAGTGAGAGTAATGGGAGAAGGAAAATGAACGTGGAGGAGTTGGACAGTAAGAGAGGAGAAGGATGCAATTATAGACAAGGAAGGAGGAAGGGGGGTGAATATTACTTTGGAGGCTAGAAGTATAGGAACAAGTTTTGGCAGGAGGGGAAGGGATAGGTTTAGCAAGAAGAGGCTTCTGGGAGGGAAGGGAAGGTGGTGGGGGCTGTAAGTGGAGGGGTGATGGGTGGGTGAGATGTTCATAGGCCACTGGTTTCTGCATAGGAGCGTACTTTCCAGGACAAGCCTGTCTCTGTATGGGGTTGGCATTCAAGGAAAGGTTGCTATGTGTAAGCATCCCAACTTATCTCAGGCAGACTAAGCATCCAGACTCCTCTCAGTGGTAAAATTGCTTGATGTTAGTACTGTCAGAGTTCTTTGTGATTTTAATCATAAGTGATAATCTGGCTTCTGCCTCTTGCCCTATGGCAGCAAGCCTCAACAAAAGGTGAAATCCCATTGGAGGTAGGATTTTCACCTAAATTCTTGTCTTCATGTCTTCAAAATTAACTAAGAACACAGCTGCCATAAGCCCATCAAGCGCTCAGGTCATGAATGCTTGAACAGAAAGACTTAGCATGTAGTGGGGTTGGAAGGGCGTAGAAATGTGGTACCAGTTAGTCAGCTCCTGCTGCATGGTACCTCCAGCCAAGCACCTCCTGCTCTTCTGACAGGAATTTTAGAACATTTTTTGAGTCAATATCCAACAAGCAATCAGAAATGACTGCTGAAATCCAGCTCCAGAGTATTTCAGTTGCAACCCATGTCCGCTCCAGTTGGAAGTCTGTTGTTAACTCCTGCTAATGCTAACCTCATTCCAAAGAGCCCATAGGCAGATATGTGGTGAAAGGGAGGTCTGGAGCCATTAACAAGTTGAGGCAAGGAATAATTTTCCTTCCCTTGCATGTGAATGAATTTTATGTGGACACAGTATTTTGTAAAAACAAAAACCGAGGATCTTTGTGACTGGAGAAGGAAATAGTGAGAGAAAATATGAAAGAGCCTGAAGGCCATAGAGCTTTTACTCCTCATTCTGAGTAACTTAGGCTTAATGGTCCCAGGAGAGGGGATAAGGAAGCTACAAGCAACAGAAGTAATTATAGTAAACTGTGTAGAAAATTAGTCTGTGTAAATGGGGATGCATCACGGACATTTATCAGTGAGTAATCTTAGCTTCTGCTCTGGATGCTTCTAATCTGACTTTCCTTTTGAGTGACATGCTTGGAAGCCTGGAGCTTTCCTTGGATGGGATGGGAGGCAGAATGGATGGGCAAGGAGTGCCCTTTGTGCAACTCTTAGAAATCAACCTATGGCACAGCAATGGGAATAGCACTGCAAATTGCTGTTCAGTGTCTTTTTACTTGAGATGAACCACTGAGAGAAAAAAATGCAAGAGAGAAGTACTCTGTTCCTGTGACCTGCTTCCTACCCAGGTATGTGTGTGTTGCCTACCAGAGGCATTAAAGCTGTAAAAGCTGATTGTCAAATCAATTCTGCTCTTACTGAGGCCTGGGAGACCAGGCGTGTGCCTTGAAAGACTTTAAAACTTGCCCCTCCCTGATGATTTGCAAAGTTTAATTTCTGTAATGGGCTCTGGTGACAGAGGCATTCACTGTTTTTTTTCCAACAGGAATTGCTGAATGTATGAATGAGTCATTCTGTAGGCGGGAGATATAATGGCAGCCTTCGATATCCTGATCTAAGGGTGGGGAGGTTGTGTGGGAGGGGAGGAATGGGGTACACTTCAAGTTAAATTATCCACCTTGCTTCCCTGCATCAGGCTGCCCCTCCTTCTTTCAAAGTCCCTTCCTGGCCCGGTGTCAGGATGATGCTGAAAGAAGGAAGGAGAAGGCTGAGGGCTCTCCTGTGGGAGATGGAGTTTATAATATATGCATTTGCCTGGAAATGCCATAAGAAATTAATATTTGTTACAGAAACAGTGGGACTGCATTAATATTTAAATATTAAATGAATATTTAATTTGAAAGCTTTGATTTGAAAGTGAATGAGACAGCCATGACATGAACAGTTGTGCTGTTCCTGTTAAGAAATGTTAATGATTTATTGACAATGTCGGTAGCAATAACTTTACACTGTTTCAGTTACATAATGCCTTCGAAATTTTGGTAAGGTGATTACTGAGAACAAAGAGCAGGCTGGCTTCAGCAGCCGTTTTGGGAAGAAGTAGTGTTGGAGAGAAGTGCCATTTCCTCCTGGGAGAGGTTCCCACCCATTCCCCAGGATGCTGGCCAGCCGTGCTCTCCCCAGTACCAGCTGTGTTCATCTCATGCCCATAGGCTGAACATGGAGCAGCTGAAGAGCTGAGACCCTCAGCCAGCTTCCCACAGTGCCTCCTGCCATGGACCTCCAAAATGGACTGCACTCGAGTTTCTTACAGCTTTTCTGGCTGAAGCTGACTTAGGGGTATATGCTAATTATCATGCATTTAGTAATCCTTA